GATGAGGGGGAGAAGGGAGGAGGGAAGAAAGAGGAGGAGGAGACAACCGTGTGGGCAGTGTCTCTCCCACCTACCCTAGGCCAGCACATCCCTCGGCGGCAGGCGGCGGCAGGCCGCGGGGCAGCGGCGCACCAGGCCTGACCTGGTCAGGCAACATGTTCACGAGGTTCGAGACCGAAATTCTATCAGCAGCAGCAGGCGGGAGCGTGGGCGAGTGGGGATAGACAAGCTAGGTGCGCTCGCGTCATATCTGACGTCCTACCCCTCCCTCCCATCCCTTACCATGGCGCTGATTTTCTCTATCCGCGGACGCGTGTCGTAGCGGACCTGTGGCTCCGCGCGCGCGTGCGTAGTGGGTGGTGGTGCGCGTGCGTGCGTGCGTGCGTGTGTGCGTGGTTGTCGTGGTGGTGGTGGTGGGCTGGTGCTGGTGGTGTGGTGATGGTGGTGGTGTGGTGGTGGTGGTGGTGGTGGTGGTGTGGTTGGTGGTGGCGGACGGATGGGCGCGCGAGAAAGAGGCCCGCGCTGGGGCGAGAACGCCATCCTGAACGACGGAGGCCAAACACCGATCCGAAAATGAGGCCCACGCTGGAGCGGGAGCACGATTCGGAACGATTCGGGAGCAGAGATGAGGCCGGCGCCTCAGCGAGAGCAGCATTTTGAAAAAAGCGCTGTGTGTAACAAAAACAATGCGCGGGGGGTTCGGCTACTTTTAGGCCGCCATCGGGGGAAGAGGGAGAGTAGTATTCATATTGAGTAATTGTCAAGACGGCAGACAGTCGAGAAAAGACAGGGCAACGAACAAGCCAGACAAATTTCCGACGAGACAGCCGTCACGGGCACACAGCCCGGAGCCCAGCAAGAACCCGGAACAGACGAAAGAACTCCATCAGTCGACAACATTCGAGAGACAGGCGCCGACCACGACGATCCAGCTTCCGCCGACCCTGTTACGGCCATGCTCAGAGCTCCAGCACGGGAGCGGGGCGCAGAAAGAAGAGAGATACCGTCCCCGCAGACGCCTCCAAGAGTGGGGCGGCCTCAGAGGTTCCAGGCGCGGGGCAACAAAGGAGACAAGAGGATCAAGGCGAGGGCAGGGGTGATCGAAAAGAACGGGGCGGGGACAGGCAGGACCCAAAGAATCAGGAGTCCTCCAGTGCTCCGACCTCACGGGCACCGTCCGTTCAGGGCTTCGGCCGGGCACTGGGACCAGTGCGCCAATGCTGCGGGCAGCCCTGAGATCCTCCACGCAGTTCACGAGGCAGTGGAGTGATGAACCCTCTCGCGGTCATTGGCGCCGTCGAGAGAACGCGTCGAGAGACAGACCACCGCGTGACCGATGAAGCACAACCACCCCGTGACGCACAGGAAATGACGGGTGTGCTCTCCTCCCGGCGACTTAGAGCCCAAACGCGACAACGGGATTTGCGTTGTAACGCCGTAGCCCGCCAAGACAACGGCATACCCGACATGTGGCGACGTCGAGCCCGAGCACGACAACGGGACTTGCGATCTAACGCCGCCGCAACCCGCAAGGGCAACGGTCAAGCCGACATGTGGCGACGGTAAACCCGAACACGACAACGGGACTTGCGCTCTGATGCCACCGTTACCCGAAAGGGCAATGGCATGGGCTGGAGAGATCCTGGACGCCAGCCAGGGATACGCCATTTACGAACTGAAACCGGTCACCATCATACGACTCCGCAGGAGACCTAACACGTTCAGGCGTCGCAACAGCCGTAGAAAGGGGGTCCGTGGGCAGCAATCGAGTGGCGTCAATGGGCACAGGTCAACCATCACACAATCATCCTCGTCGTCGGGCTCAGGAGCTAGCATAAGCGTCATACCAGGGCTCAGGGGGTCAGGTACATCTTGATCACACGCTACTCTGCGCATCTCCTCGTCACACCTAGAGTCCGTAAGGCAACTATCGACCATGGCACAATAATCCTCGTCCGGAGGGAGGAGGAGGAGGAGAAGGTGGAGGAGGAGGAGGAGGAGGGGAGGAGGAGGAGGAGGAGTTGGCCCGACTGCAGCCGCGGGCGCACAGACGGGGCGCGTCGCACCCCCATCGACACGCCCATCGGTTCTTTCCAGTCGGGGTTCCTTCGACCGCGCCAGGAGGGAGGCGTCTTCTTGCCACCCCTGTCAATCACAGGCGGCCCCCGCGCTTTCAAGGCAGGCCTAGAGGGAGCTTGTAACCCACATGCCTGGACACACTGTCTCAACGGGTGCGTTTTGAATCGTTCTCTCTCTCTCTCTCTATTTCTCTATCTGTGTGACTGTGTGCCTGCTTCCTTTTTGCTTGTGCGTCCTCTCCCTCTCCCTCTCCCTTTCCCTCTATTTTCCCATTCCGTTTCCACTCATCTTTCTCCCTCCCCGTGCCCTCTCCATCTCCCTCTCCCTCTCCCTCTCCCTCTTCTTCTCCCTCTCCCTCTCCCTCTCCCTCTCCCTCTTCCTCTCTTTTCCCATTCCGTTTCCACTCATCCATCTCTCCCTCCCCGTGCCCTCCCTCCTCCCCCGTTTCCCTCGCCCCTTCCTGCCCCCCACCTCCTCCCGTCTCTCTCCTCTCTCCCACCCCCCCCCCCCTCCCCAGGCTCTTCACCGGGCGCCCTTCGCCCCGACGGCTGGCCGCCGCACGATGACCCACCCGAGCCAGCCCGAGGATGGAATGAACGTCAGGCCCGCCGAGATGAGGAACATGTAGAACCTCTGCTCCTTCGTCCTGGGCGGGAGAGGCTGCAGAGCATCGCTCCGTGGTGTGCTGTCGACCATTACCAGCCTCGAACGTGTCCCTATCCCTAAGAGTCACACGCCCAAAGGCGATGGCAATCTTAGGGATTCGCCCTCAAAACGTTAGGGAATCCCTGTAGGGAGATGCTCCAGGCTGGTGAAACCAGACCTGCAGGGTGGGCACTCTCCATGTCTCCGTGCACTTCCGCTCGGGCTTCGGCTCTTCAGCGGCCGACGCAGCCCGGTGCGCCTTCGGGCCAGCTCACGCGCGCAGGCTCTTCCGCTCGCGCGGGCTCCTGCCCGCCCCCCTTGCGCGAGAGGAGGGATCTGCGGAGGACGAACACGGCAGGGCCCCCTCCCCGAGAAGCCCCCCCCAGGAGGCCCCCGGGAAGGCCCAAGCGGCCCCCCGGATGTCCCCAGGAGCCCTCCGAGAGGCCTCTGAGAGGCATCCCGCGAGCGAGAGGCTCCTGACCCACCAGGTCACTGCCAAAATCGCCGCAGGCACTCGCTCCTTCTGGGGGCCCGTCCGCCGGCGGAGGCGGCCTCGTGTGACCTCCGCGGGCTTCCGCCGACCTTCCGCCGAGGACGAGGCGCCCCTTCTCACGCAGCTTCGCCTCTCTCCGGGAGGCGCCGTGCCCGAACCTGTGCCCGAAGCTCTGCCCCGGGTGTGCCCGAGGCTTGCGCCAGAGAGTCTCCGACCGCGCCCGGGTGTGACCGACATGTTCGGCTCGAGGCCAAAACGATCTCCAACTTCGGCCGCACCCTCGGTCGCACGACGCCTTCGGTCACGACTCCGGGCACGCTTTCGGTCGGCCACCGATTCTTGTTCGGTCACCTACCCTTTCAGCCACCGATTTTTGTTCGGCCACCTACCTAGAGGCCTCCTGGATGGGGTCGGAGTAGATGGGGCCGGACGATCGCGCCGCATCGAAAATTCGGCGCCGACGCATCGGCGATGCTTCGGCGACGTCAGCGATGCTTCGGCGACGTCGGCGTGGAGAATATCGGGCTCCACATCGAGCCACATCGTAAATTCATCGGCGATGCGGCGCGATCCTCCGACCCCATCTACTCGGATCCCAGATGGCAGGCCTGGAGTTCGGTCACCTACCGTCGAGCCTCGAAGCCGAAGCTATTTCCCGCCACGCCCGACGCCACTACTTTTGTCATGTCGTCGACCCCCAGGGCTCTCGACACGCTCCCTGGGACCGGCTTTTCATCCTGACTCGTTTCCGACGGCCCCGCGGCCCGGGAAGGGCCCCCAAAGGCTGAAAATAGTGCAAAACCTTGCGTCGCGATCCTTCGCGCCCCTCCAGGAGGCGCGGCTGGCCCCGACCCGTGGGCCTCCTGAGGACCTCCTACTCCTCCTCTTCCTCCCTCCTCCTCCCCCTCCTCCTCTCCCCCCCTCCCCTCCTCCTCCTCCTCCCTCCTCCTCCTTCCTCCTCCTCCCCCTCTCCTCCTCCTCCTCCTCTCCTCCTCCTCCTCCTCTCCTCCTCCTCCTCCTCATCCTCCTCCTCTCCTCCTCCTCTTCGTGGCCTGGAGCGCCTCGTGTGCTTCCGGAGCTCCGCGCGCCGCCCGCGGAGCGGCGCTGGGCCCGCCTCCGGCGCCGGCGCACGGAGCCCCCTCAGGGGAGCTGCACCGGAGGCGCCGCCACAGGGGGCCCAGCGCCGCGCCGCGGGCGCCGCGCGGAGCTCTGAACCAGCCATGTTTTTCCCGCGGAGCCCAGGCCCCCTCGCGGTGCGAACGAAAATCACGACGGGAGGTTCTTCGCCATTGTCAGCCTCCAGGGGCCCTTCTTACTGGGCCTCGGGGCCGCCAAGAAACGACTCGGGATGCAGAACCGGGCCGGGGGAATGGGTCGAGTCTCCTGGGGGTCGACGTCATGAAAAAACCGTGACGTCGGGGGTCTGGGAACACAGCCTCCGACCAGTTTTGCGCATGTCTCACATCAGTTGGCGCTGTGAATCGCATCGCATGGCCATTGAAGTCATGGACACGGCCAGGACGAGGAGGAAGGGGAGCGCGGATTCCCCGGGTAACTGATGTTTCTTCTTGAGGGGGGGAGAACAGCCAAAGTCCCCAACGGTCTCGCCGCGGCTCAGCTGCTGCGTTCTGCGGGCACCAGCCAGGGCGGCCAAAAATCCTGCTCCCCCTTGACAGACGGGTGCCCAAAGACTTGCATGCGTCTGCAGACTTCTTCTCCGGCGAGATCTGCTTCCCGTCTCTGTCCCCGTTCCTTCTGTGCCCACTTCGCTTCGGCGGTGGACAAACCTCCCTTTAGTAAACCGCCCTTTCATGAAAACGGCCTGGGACCGGAACCGACGGATCTGGACCAGCAAAAATGACGGCCGCGACGCCCCCTCGCGAAGCGAACACGGCCACTTCCTGAATCGACGTGTCAGGGTAGGAGGTCTGTCCACCCCCGAGTTGTCGTCGTCGTTCGCGCCGCTGCGTTCGTTCGTCCGCCGTCGCGGGCTGCCCTGTCGCCTGTCGCCCTCGCCGCCGTCGTGCGCCTCCGTCGCCCCGTCGTCGGTGGCCGCCCTCCTCGCTGCCTGGGCCTCGTGCCCCCACGTGGCGGGCTTCCCCCAACAGAACACCTGAGCACAGAGGCTGCTGTCTCTTGGGGGGCGCCTCCTCGACTTCCGCCAGCTCCCGCCGAGGAAGAGATGGCAACCCCTTCGCTCCTCGAGGGCGGGGCCCTGTTGCTTCCGGGGTGGACAGGGCCCCCTGTAGCAGAAACGTGGCTCAGCGAAAACGACCTCGGGCCCAGAAACCTGGCGGGGGCGCCAGCGTGGAACACGACGGCCGCGGCGCCCCCTCGAGAACCGAGAACGGACAGCCCGCGAACCGACGCGTTGGGGTGGGGGGCTCCGCCTCGCGTGGGCGCGCGCGCGAGGTCAGCCCAAAAGCCCTGCCCACTGCGGGCCCCGAGGGCCCCCGGCAGAACCTCGGCCGCCCGCCCGCACCGCGGCGAGGGCAGCTGCAGCAGCAGCACGGGCCTCGGGACAGACATAGCGACCGCTCGTGCCACGCTCATCTGTCAACGCCTCCCCCCCTGCCCCCAATTTTCAAAGTTGGCGGTGGGTCTGATGAGCTGCACCTCGACCGCAGTCTCCCCCGCGCGTGCCAACCTTGAGTTTGGGGGGCAGGGGGGGTGTTTACTAATTGTTTCCCTCCACCGTAGCACTAACCCCCCCCCTGGGCCGTCGCCGGCGTGCCGCAGGGCACCTCGCTGCTGCTGTGGCGCAGGCTGTGGCGAGCGGGACTGCGCGGGCCTCTCCCCCCCCCCTTGGCGGCGCGCTCAAGGGGGCAGGGGGAGGGGGGAAGGCTTCCTGGGAGGCTGCTTCTTGGAAGGCGCCGGTCTTGCATCTGCAGAGACGGCCCGCGCCTTCTGAGAAGCGAAGGTGCTTTGAAGAAGCCATCCCCCCTCCACCTGCCCCCGTCTGCGCGTGGTTGACCCCTGCTCTCGCTGCCAGGCGCACCGCCAAGGCACATACCGCGGCAGCTGTGTGTGTGTGTTTGTGTGAGTACCCGCCTTCCTGTGCCCTGTCTCCCTAATTAAAGCTGTGCGTAGCCCGCCTAGCTTTTAACAGAAGAGGTTCGCTCTCGCCCCGCAGATCAAAAAGTTTGTGTGAGTGTGTGTGTGATGCTTCCATGCGGGCCTCTCAGACGGGTTCGGAGAAGATGGGGTCGAAGGATCGCGCCGCATCGTCGATCCACCGATGCATCAGCGACGCCAGGGCGATGCCGGCGTGGAGGAAATCGGGCTCTTCACCGAGCCGCATCGCCGATACTTCGGCGATGCGGCGCGATCCTCCGACCCCATCTACTCAGACCCCATCTGTGGGGCCTGGATTCCAGCGGCACCGTTACATACAAACTGGCCGTCTGGTGCGACTGATTGTCCAGCACACCAGCGGCTCGAAGGGACACAGCTGCAGGAGGGGATGCCCAACATGGAGGAGTTCCACCCCCCCTGGTTGAGTCGAGCTTGAGACTGCCCGCGTCCAGGGGTGGTTCGGGTGGCACATGAGGATGCCGAGCAGAGGGTGCCACTGCATTATGAAGAAGAAATAGTCCCTGACGAAGTTGCCGGTCCAATAGTAGCTGTTCGCCAGGTCCCACTTCAGCTTGTGAATGAAGGTGCACTTCTCTGGGTCCTCGCCACCTGTTGTGCGTGCGTTGTTTTTTGTCGGTTGCCTCCAACCCTGCAATCAATTTTCAAGTGCGATTCCCGATTCGCCTCGTCCTCCTGACGCTCGTAAACCCTTCCGCAAAGGGGAATCAGGGGTTCTTTCCGAATTGCCTATCCGCAACATTACCTGCGCCCAGAGGGCTGGTTGGGTTGAGACCTCTCGTACGCAATCTGGAGATCCGCGCAGAAATCTCGCACTGGCGCTGGCATGCTCCTGCCTGGCGCGCGGAGCACGTCAGGGGCGGCGCTGGAGGCGCCGCCGGGGGGGGGGTCCAGCGCCGATCCGAGAAAAGTCGGCGCGGACCTCCGAGTTCTATGTCTATGTCTATGTCATTGCTGGTTCCCCTGATGCATTCTGGTCGGGCGAAAGGGGGGGATAGCAAAGGGGGGGGTTTGAGAATCAGCTCACGTAGCCGATTTTCCCGGCGCCTCGGTGGAGCCGAAGGCGGCTATGTATCGAGGAATGGGCCCCTCGGTGGGGCCGAAACCAGCTGCATGCAGCAAATTTCGTAACCCCCCCTTTCCCAATCCCCCCCTTTCGTCTGGCCCGATGCACGTATCGAGCCAGGAATGTCAGCATCGGATCGCTACCGAGCTGGTACCTCCTCCCCTGCCGCATGCTCGTCGGCCTCCGCCTGCCCGTCCTGCCCCTCCTTCTGCTGCTCCTGCCCTCCTCATCCTCTCCCTCCCTCGTCCTCCTTCTTCTCCTCCCTCTTCTCCTCCCTCTTCTCCTCCTCCTCCTCCTCCTCCTCCTCCTCCTCCTCCTCCTCTTTCTTCTCCTCTTCTTCCCGATGCATGGGGACCCTCGTCTGAGATCCACACAAGTACACGCAGCCACTAACCAGGGCTCTGCAAAGACCGCTGCGACCAACTCTCCACTTCCTGGGAGAAAGCCTCTCGTCATCCGCTTGGTGGCCCTCCGACCAAAGCGATCTCAGCTGCCTGAAAGGGTGCGCTCCGCAGCGCCAACATGCAACAGCCGCATTGCTCTGCTTCCAGAAACGCGGCGCGTTTTCCAGGGGCACCAATTCATGTGGCAGCAAGTCCCGCGCCTCAACACTTTATCCTGCAACCGTCACAACATGACTCAACGTGTAATCCGCACCATAAGGGATCCCGTTGTAATCCGCCGCGAGGGGAATCAGTGTGTAACCGACCACATAAGGAATCGATTCGTAAACCGTAGCACAAATAATCAATTTGTAATCCGCACAAACAAACAAAATGAACGTGAGTACATCAGCCACCGTCCCGCTGGGCACGGAGTGGACGTGCCCTCAGGTCCTTTGCCAATCCCGTGAGTCTGAGTCCTCACTCCTGGGGGATCTCTTAGGGGCCCGGACCCCAAATTCTCAACTCTTCTTGGGCTTCCCGCGGTTTCCCTTGGGCATGCCGCGTCTTGTTGCGTTACTTTTTCGGGCCCAAGAGGGCCCCGAAACGGACCAAGAGTGCCCCGAGAAGCCCCCAAGACGGTCCAAGGAGGCCCCGAGTCGCCGAACGATCGCTCCAAGACGCTCACGGTGGCCCCCAGACGGCCCAAGAAGCCTACAAGACGCCCAAGGAAGCCTCCAAGAAGCCTCCCAAGAGGGCCCCAAGAGGCCAACATCATTGATTTCCCTTGAAGGATTCTGGCATTCTCGCCTTTGCGGCTTCCCGACGCTCCCAGACGGCCCTAGAGGCCCCTAGGACCGCCCCAAGACCCAAGAGGCCTCCTCCACGCGGGCCCCAAAACGACCGAAGAGGGCCCCAAGAAAGCCCAAGAGGCGCCCAAAACGGCCCAAGAGGGCTCCAAAAGGGGCCCGAAAGAGGGAACACGAACCGAAAGTCGAGCCCCCCGCCCCAAGAGGCCCTCAGGAGGCTCCAAGAGGCGCCCAGGAGGCACCAAAGGCCTCCAGGCCCCCAAGAGGCAGCAAAAGGCCCCCAAGAGGCCCAGAAGAGGCCCCGAGAGACCCCGAAACGGCCACCAAGAGGCGTCCAAACTGCCTCCAAGAGGCTCCCGAGAAGCCGCCTCCCACGAGATCCCAACGAACATCCAATAGGCTTTATCCTCACAGCCCAGGCACGGTGGCGGGATGGGCCGAAGGCCACGAAGTCCGCCGCCCCCTGCTTGCAGGGGTGCACGGCGTGCTGGACGAGCTGTTAGGTTTTGCTTTTGGTTCTTTTTCCAAAAGAACTCCCCAGTGGGCTCCGGCAGAACCCGCCGGCCACCCGGAAAATCCCCAAACGTGCTCAACGACCGCAACAAATCCTCCAAACAACGGCCGTTTCGCTCGGGACATCCTCAAAAAATCGCGAAGATGGCCCAAGATGGCCTCCAAGTCCGCCCGAGATGGTCCAAGACGGCCTCCAAAACGGCCCAAGAGAGTCCAAGACGGCCCAAGACGGCCCAAGAGGCCTCCCAGACGGCCCAAGAGGCCTCCAAGAGGTCCTCCAGGAGAGTCCGAAGAGGCCAAAATCATTGATTTTCCATTGGTTTTTGAAGGATTTTGGCATTTGCGCCTTTTCGGCTCTCCGACGGCTCAAGACGGCCCAAGAAGCCCCCAAGATCGCCCAAGAGGCCCCCAAGAGAGCCCCCTGATGGCCCAAGTGGCCTCCAAGATGGCCCCTAGAGGGCCCCAAGACGGCCCAAGAGGCCTCCAACACGCCCAAGATGGCCTCCAAGACGCCCAAGATGGCCTCCAAGACGGCCCTGGAGCGCCCCAAGAGGGTCCCCCGTTGGCCCAGAAAGGCCCCCAAAACGGCTCCCGACGGCGTCAGACGTGCCAGGAACCCACCAAGATGGCCGAAGTTGGCTCGAAGCTGGCCCAAAAGGGCCCAAGAGGCCCCCAAGAGGGCCTCCAGGAAGGCCAAAAGATGCCAAAATCACTGATTTTCCCAAGGTTTTTGATGGATTTGGACATTTCCCTTCTTTCGGCCTTCCGACGGCCCGAGACGGCCCAAGAGCCCCCAAAGATCGCCGAAAGATCGCCCAAGAGGCCTCCAAGACGGCGATGATGACCATCAAGACGCCCACGTGTTCCCCGAAGGCTTTCCAAACCGATTCGGGGAACACATGGTCCGATGGCTTGGCAGGTCTGGCCTCAACGTTCGGCCACATAGGCGCTTCCACAAAGGCAGGGGGCGGCGGTGATTCGCCGTAGGCGTCTTCGATAGCCACTGCTTGATCCGCCGCCCCCTGCTTGCAGGGGTGCACGGCGTGCTGGATGTTTCAGGTTTTGGTTTTGGTTCTTTTTCTAAAAGAACTCCCCAGTGGGCTTCGGCCCGTCCCGCCGGCCACCCGTAATTTTCCCAAAATCCGTCTGTCAATGCCTTTGTTGCCCCAAGATGGCCCAAGATGGCCTCCAAGATGCCTCCCAGACGGCCAAGATGGCCTCCAAGACGGGTAAGATGGCTCCAAGATGCCTCCAAGACGGCCCAAGATGCCCTCCAAGACGGCCAAGATGGCCCCAAGATGCCTCCAAGATGGCCCAAGAGGCCTCCAAGACGTTCTCCAGGAGAGCCCGAAGAGGCCAAAATCATTGGTTTTCCTTAGGTTTTTGAAGGTTTTTTGCGTTTTCTTCTTTTCGGCCTTCCGACGGCCCAAGAGGCCCCCAAGATCGCCCAAGAGGCCTCCAAGAAGGCCCTATGACGGCCCAAGGGCCCCCCAAGACGGCCCCAAGAGCGCCCCAAGACGGCCCAAGAGGCCTCCAAGACGCCCAACATGGCCTCCAAGACGGCCCTGAAGCGCCCCAAGAGGGCCCCAAGACGGCCCAGAGAGGCCCCCAAGACGGCTCCAGACGGCGTCAGACGGACCAGGAACGCCCTAAGACGGCCAAAGAGACCCCCAGGAAGCCCCCAAAGGCCCCCAAGAGGCCCAAGGAGGCCCCCAAGATGCCTCCAAGAGGCCTCGAAGAGGCCCCCAAGAAGCCCCCAACAGACCCCAAGGGTGCCCCAAGAGACTCCTAACAACCCTCATCCTCCTACTCTATTTCTTCCTCTTCCTCTTCCTGTTCATAATCATTCTCTCCCATGTGTTCCCCGAAAGCTTTCCAAACCGACTCGGGGAACTCATGGTCCGATAGCTTGGCCAAGCTCTAGTCCAACTTTCGGCCACATCGGCGTTTCCAAAAAGGCAGGGGGCGGCGGTGATTCGCCGTAGGCGTCTTCGATCCGCCGCCCCCTGCTTGCAGGGGTGCACGGCGTGCTGGATGATTCAGGTTTTGGTTTTGGTTCTTTTTCTAAAAGAACTCCCCAGTGGGCTTCGGCCCGTCCCGCCGGCCACCCGCAAATTGCCCAAAACCCATCTCTCAATGCCCAAAAACGGCCGTTTCGCTCGGGACATCCTCAACAAATCGCGAAGATGGCCCAAGATGGCCTCCAAGTCCGCCCGAGATGGTCCAAGACGGCCTCCAAAACGGCCCAAGAGAGTCCAAGACGGCCCAAGACGGCCCAAGAGGCCCCCCAGAGGCCTCCCAGACGGCCCAAGAGGCCTCCAAGAGGTCCTCCAGGAGAGTCCGAAGAGGCCAAAATCATTGATTTTCCCTTGGTTTTTGAAGGATTTTGGCATTTGCGCCTTTTCGGCTCTCCGACGGCTCAAGACGGCCCAAGAAGCCCCCAAGATCGCCCAAGAGGCCCCCAAGAGAGCCCCATGATGGCCCAAGTGGCCTCCAAGATGGCCCCTAGAGGGCCCCAAGAGGGCCCAAGAGGCCTCCAACACGCCCAAGATGGCCTCCCAGACGCCCAAGATGGCCTCCAAGACGGCCCTGGAGCATTCCAAGCGGGCCCCAAGTCGGCCCATAGAGGCCCCCCAAACGGCTTCCGACGGCTTCAGACGTGCCAGGAACCCACCAAGATGGCCGAAGTTGGCTCGAAGCTGGCCCGAGACGGCCCAAAAAGCCCCAAAGATCGCCCAAAGCTTGCCCAAGAGGCCTCCAAGACGGCCAAGATGACCTTCAAGATGCCCACGTGTTCCCCGAAGGCTTTCCAAACCGATTCGGGGAACACGTGGTCCGATAGCTTGGCAGGTCTGGCCTCAACGTTCGGCCACATAGGCGCTTCCAAAAAGGCAGGGGGCGGCGGTGATTCGCCGTAGGCGTCTTCGATCCGCCGCCCCCGGTTGGCTTGCCACAGGGGTGCCCTGCGTGATAGATCCTTTCGGTTTTGGTTTTGGCTGGTTTCCAAAAGAACTCCCCCTGGGGCTTCGGCCGATCCCGCCAAGGTCCCAGAAAGGCGCCCAAACCACCTCAACGACCGCAAACAATTCTCCAAGACGGCTCGAGATGGCCTCTAAGATGGTCACGTTGGCCCAAGATGGCCTCCAAGGTGGCCCAAGATGGCCTCCAAGTCTCCAAAGATGGCCCAAGATGGCTTCCAAGACGGCCCGAGAGAGTCCAAGATGTCTTCAAGTTCGTCCAAGAAGCCTCCAAGACGGCCCAAAATGGCTCCAAGATGGCCCAAGACTGGTTAAGAGGCCCTCAAGAGGCCTCCAAGACGTTCTTCAGGAAGGCCCGAAACGGCAAAGATCGTTGATTTTCTTTGGGCTGTTGAAGGATGTGGGCATTTTCTTCTTATCAGCCCTCCGACGTCTAGATACTTTAAACTGGTGCTTCTCAGCATTCTCTGTCGATTGCTGTGCATCTGAGCTCGGTAGCTAGCCTACAGCTCGAATTAAGTAGAGAAAACAAGCATCATCTCTCGAACAAGTTATAGTGCGAATAGTTTTTGAGTCGCAGCTGGCCCAAGACGGCCCAAGAGGCCCCCAAACATCGTCCCAAGAGCGCCCAGGAGGCCTCCGAGATGGCCCCATGACAGCCCAAGAAGCCTCCAAGAGGGCCCTGCTGCCCCCGGCTCGTCTCTCGCCCCTCGCTTCCAGCCCAGAAGAGGAGGAGGAGGAGGAGGAGGAGGGAAAGAGGAGGAGGAAGAGGAGGAGGAGGAGGAGGAGGGAGGAGGGCGGAGGGAGAAGGAGGAGGAGGAGGAGGGAGCAGGAGAAACGAGGGATAAGAGTGAAAGAGCGAGAGGATGATGATGCTGATGATGATGCTGATGATGATGCTTGTGATGATAATGATAATGAAGCTGCTGCTGATGATGATGACGATGAGAACGAACATGAAACTGATAAGGATGATGATGCTGATGATGCTGATGATGATGATGATGATCATGCTGATTGAAATGATAATGCTACTGATGCTGATGCTGATGCTGATGATGCTGATGCTGATGATGGTGATGATTGTGATGATGATGCTGATGGATGATGATGATGATGATGATGATGATGATGATGATGATGATGATGATGATGATGATGATGATCATGATGATGATGATGATGATGGCGGTGATGGTGATGGTGGTGGTGGTGATGGTGACGATGATGACGAGGAGGAGGAGGAGGAGGAGGAGGAGAACGCACGGCCGTGCTCGCTCTCAGCAGGTCAGCTGGTTGACAAGACAAGGACATCCACACGCACGCGCGCAGCGCCAACGCCTCGGCACCCCGCGGACTGTGCCGCCGCCCCGCCGGCCCGCGTGCGCGCCGCCCCTCGCTCGGCGCCTCGCCCGCTGGCCCCCCGCTTGCAGACCGGCGCGCCCCCGCTGCTCGCGGCACGGCTGCTCGCAGATGGCCCGGAGCCGCGGCGAGGGATTCGCGGTCTCCTGCGTCGAGCCAGCTGTGTGTGTGTGTGTGTCTTTGGGCCCGCTGAGCTTCGACCGGAAGAGGTGCGCTCTCGACCCGCGGATCAAACAAGTGTGTGTGTGTGTCTTCGGACGTCTGCGGGTACAGTCGGGGCGTGTTGTTTTTTTGTGTTTTTTATTTATAAGCTCAAGGCAACAACAATTCAAGAAGAGAGAGAGAGAGAGACCATGCATGCGAGCCTGCCCCGCACACGTCCCATCACCGCCGCTGTGGGCAGAGAAGACAGAACTGCAGCGGCACGCCAGGACCCTGCAAGCGCTGAAACGCTAGGGCCCCCGTGGGCTGTACAGTCGGGGCGTTGACCTAAGGAACCCTGAATAAGGAACGAGGCCCCTTTTCTTCCCAGTAGTGAAACTTCGACTCCCCATACAAGACCTCAGGAAAGCCCGAGGCTGACTGCAAAGCAATCAAGGAACACCGAGCCCCTCCCCAACGAAAAGGGTTCCATCTTCAGCGCCCCGACTGTAGGCATGTTTCGAGCAATGGAACACGCTCGGTGCTCGGTGACTTCAAATAACCTCCTGCCGGGCCGATCGGTCGGACCAGTCATGGCGGGGGCCCGCTGAGAGTGTCGCCTATGCAGCCGGTCGCGTTGACCTGCTCTGCCTTGTTGTACTCTTCCCACCCAGGGCGCGTTGATGTTGACGGAAGGCTGTTGCTGCTGTTGTTGCCCTTCTCCAGCATCGACTGCTGGTCGGGAGCGCTGGAGCCCCCAAATCCGAACACCATTGGACCGACCAGGCCGCCTGACACGATCCTTCGGGGCACTGGGGGAGGAATCAATACGTCGCTCTGGTGATGCCGATCCCATCAGCATCAGACACATCGCGAGTTGGCGCGGTGACGTCTCCGCGTCTCGCCAGGAGGAGGAGGCGGAGGAGGAGGAGGACACCCTCGACCCTCGCCTGCCATTGGATCAGCTGCCAGGCGCAGTGATACCTGAGCGCTCTGGGCCCCAGGAAAGTGTCGACTGCAGAGGTGGGATTTCAATTGACTGGTGCTGTCGTGAGGGGCAACGATAGTGCGGGATGACGATTAATAAAGAAATGGGAGAGAACGATTAAGACATAGTTTTCTGCTATTTCTGCACAATCTTCTGACTGGAGGAGAACGCTTAAAAAGAACAGTTTTCCAGCCCGCGGCCGGTTTTTTCTAATTGTCATCCCGGGCGCCGCCGCGTGAACACGACCCCCGGTCATTGATTAATCGTCAGCCTCAATCAGGAGGGGAGCGGCGAAGGGGCCAAACATCGAACAGACAAAGCTCGACGATACACCACCGACAAACCGGCGACGGACCCTCGACAACGAAACCGCACGCTCCTTGACGGTACCCCCAGACCCCGGACGTCATGATTTTTGTCAGCGCCATTGGGGCTGGGCAAGGGGCTCGATGTTCCTCAGATCCTTCCGTGGCTGTCTCTCTGGCGGTCCTCGTGCACGCAGGCGCCTGTGGGGCCAAGAGGGGAGTTCGTTCCTTCTTCCCAGACCCCCGACGTCATGATTTTTGGACAGCGTCGATTCCCAAAGGTCTCGATCCGTTCCCCAGGACTGGCTCTTCATGCCGAGAATGTCTTTCCACGATCCCGAGGCCCGGTAAGGGCCCCTGGAGGCCGAGAGTATGGAAGAACCTCCCGTCGTGACTTCTTCTTTAGACGCCCGAAATGGGTACGGCAAAAATGGGCACAACGCCCAACAACAAAGGTTGTCCCAAACCAACAGCGGCCGCTGTTGGGCAGGCGGCCTTCTGTCTCAAATGGACACAGGCCGCGGCGGCGCGGACAGCGAGTCCGGTTCAAAATGCACAGGAGCTGCTGTTGGGCATTGTACCCATTCTATCCGTACCCATGTCGGTCGTCCCGATCTTCAGGACTCGAGGGGGGTCTGGGTTTAGCGTTCCTCACGTCGGCGACCCGACGTGCAGGCCCGACCGCAGACGACCTCGCTGCGCACCTCGGCCCGGCGAGCCGAGGCGCCGAGGGCGGCGGGCCCAAGACGAGGGGACGACGCGGCGAACAAGACGAGGGACCCGAGGGAGCCTGGGTCCTGGGCGGTGTGGGCAATCGGGCCCCTGCCGGGGACCGGTGTGCGATTGGCGCAACCCATAACCAGGCTCGAACTTATCCCTATCCCTAAGATGGGGAGCAAAAAGCGAGGACAATCTTGGGGATAGGCCCTCAGAAACTGAGGGAATCCTTAAGATCGGCATCGAGGTGAGGTGATGTCAAACATAAGGATCGGGATATGTTTCAAACTGGTAAACCCAGCCGATCGGCCGCTCCAATGTCTTCTGCGCGCGGGCCCCGGGAGTCTGCACCCCTTCCCCCCGCCGTCGCTCGGACGGCCATTTCCCGTGCATGTTTCGGTCTCGCGCGCGTTTTTTTTTTTTTGCTCGATGGTGCAGGATGGTCCTCGATGGTCCTCGCCGAGAAAAAATGCACACGTCCGAGCGGTGCCAAGCCCCGGACGTATCCCCATCCCTAAGATTGACACGCCAAAAGGCGATGAGAATCTTAGGGACTCGCCCTCGAAAAATAAGGGAATCCCTGAGATTGGCATCGTAAGGAGGAGGTGCCCAGCATAGCCTATGCGGGCACAGCGCGAGGCCCGCGCGGGTCTCTCGCGCCAAACATGCGCAACAAGGTCGGCCCGCCCGCTGGCTGGCGCTCGCGGGCGACGCGACGCCGGCGCCGACTGCGAGGCCGACTGGGCCCGGAGGATTCCTGAGAGTCCCGGGAAGGGGCAGCGGGCCGCGATGGAATCGGCGCGGTCGTTGGCGCCCCCCCCGCACCCGGCCCCCCCTGCAAGCCGACTCCTCCTGAGCATAGGGATAGGGATATGTTCCAGGCTGGTGAACTTCCCCAGGGCCGCTTGCTCGCCCGGCTCGCTCTCTGACCGCTCCCGAGGTCCAGCGGGGGCCCCAATGGGGCCGAGCGAGGGCCACAAGCCCGCCGCTCCGACTTTTGTTGGAGCGCCGGATCCCCACAGGAGGAGGAGGAGGAGGAGGAGGAGGGGGAGGAGGAGGAGGAGGAGGAGGCAGGAGGAGGATTTGAGTTTTCTTACCCGAGGCTCCAGTCCCCCGTCGGGGATCAGTGGGCGATCGGTGCGACGTGGCGAGACCTCGCCGGGCCCCACCTGCCGCAGGAGGCGGCCACGAGGCGGCCGCGTGGCGAGAGCCCACCCAGCGCACGAGGCGGCCACGCGGCGAAGCCTCGCCAGGCCCACCCATCGCCCGAGCCAGTCCAGAGATCCGACGCTCCAACCAAAATTGGAGCGGGCGGTTTTGGCCGTGTTCGGCCTCCATCGGCTACACGTAAGAGTGACCCTGGGTAAGAGTGACCTTTGGTGCGCGGCTTTTTGGGGGCCGCGGCAAGACCAGACCTGGGCGCGCAAGCCGCTGCTGCCGCTTCGCGTTCAGGCATCTGGGGGACCATCTGTGCCCGCACCAAGGGTCATTCCGGCGAAAGGTCACTCTTACGTCCAGTCGACTCCAGGGGCCCTCGCCGGGCCCCGGGACCATCACAGAACGACTCAGGACTAAAAAAACCTGCCCTAGGGAAATGGTCAAGACCTCTGGGGCCCACGCATGAAACAAAAATTGGAGCGGCTGGATGTCTGGGACGGGCGGCAATGTGGAAAGTCCTAGCTGGGCCCATACAGGTCCTTTGCGACAAGAACAACAACCCTAAAGTGCGTGCGTTATTATTTGGGGATTTGAGCTTCTTAATGCAAACACTTCTTGGAGAGTAATTCTGTTCTTGCGGCGTCTCGCGCTCCCTCTGGGAAGCCTTCGGCAGATATATCAACGTTTGGCACATTCATCTCGGAAAAAGGAACGGAGCCTGTTTGTGGCCCCAACAGCGCCTAGTTTATGGAGGAATGTCGAAATAACGCTGGAGAAATACGCAAAGGAATCTCGAACCTCCTCTAATAGAAGACGGTCCTTACCCCAATGTCTTCACTGTAACAGGGGAGGTTATCGTCCGGTTTGTGGTCAACCTGGGCAAACGGGTAGGAACAATTTTCGTCCAAATTAGGGAGTCGTCGTGGCCAACCTGGGCAAACGCAAACGCCCTCAGAGCTACGTAGCCCCCGAGGGAGACCTGGGAGCGGCCCGCCGTAGCTCCACGAGTCTCCGCAGCGGTCCCATGGAGCCCTCAGAACCGCCCCCCGCCCCTGCCTCCCCATCCCCCTCCGCCCCTCCCCCTATCCCCCCCATATATATATATATGTATATCCATATCTATGTATATATATATATACACATATATATATATATATCACGCACACGCCCGCGCACACGCACAGGCACAGGCACACGCACACACAACAACACACAACACACAAGCACAACCACAAACACAAGCACAACCACACACACCACCCACACACACACACCACACGCACCACACCGACCCACACACAACACACGCACACACACCACACCACACAAACACACACAGACACACACGCACACGCACACACGCACACACACACACACACGCACACGCACGCGCACGCACGCACACACACAAACACACGGACAAACCCGCGCACCCACTCACGCACGCACGCACACACACAGTCCACACACACACCACACATAAACATAAAACACAAGCACACAAGCACACAATCATGCAAACATACATACACGCACCACACAAAAACACACCAACACACCAACAAACAGAACATGCGCACGAACGCGCAAACACACATAACCACACACAACACACACAAACACACACACAAACACACACACACAAACACATACACAAACACATAAACACACACACAAACACACACAAACCTGCGCACGCACGCACGCACGCACACACACACACACACCACACACACGCGCACACACGCACACACAAACACACGAACACACACACAAACACACAAACACCCGTACACACAAGCACACAAACACACAACAACACAGACACACAAGCACACAAACACACAGCCACAGAAACACACACGCAATCACCCACACACCCACACACACACCCACCCTCACACTCACCCACCCACCCACATACCCACCCACACACCCACACACCCACACTTTTGCGTTGGCGGCTACACAGAGTGACTGCGCTGGCGGACAAGCAAATGTTAGACGAGCAATTGCGAATTAGGCAGCGATGCACGAGGGGAGGAGGGGAAGCGCCCGGCGACGGCGGGGAGGTGGAGGAAGCGGGGCCCGCCCACAAACCCACACACGAACACACGAGAAAAGCATACACGTACACACACACTCACACACGCGCACACGTACACACGCCCCCACGCACACACGCACACACGCACACACGCACACACGCACACACGCACGCACGCACACACACGCACACACGCACACACGCACACACGCCCACACGCCCACACGCCCACACGCACACACGCACACACGCACACACGCACACACGCACACACGCACACATGCACACATGCACACACGCAACACACGCACACAAGCACACACGCAACACACGCACACACGCGCACACACGCACACACGCACACACGCGCACACGCACGCACGCACAGACGCACACACGCACAGACGCACACACGCACACACACACACACACACGCACACGCACACGCACACACGCACACGCACACGCACACGTACACGCACACGAACACAGACACGTACACGTACACGTACACCCCCACACCCACCCACGCACCCACCCACTCACCCACCCATCCACCCACCCACCCACAATCACACCCACACACCCACACAGCTACACACCCACCGCCATTCCCACACACCCACACACACACGCACACACACACACACGCACGCACACGCACGCACACGCACACAAAACCACACACACACACGCACACATGCACGCACGCACGCACGCACGCACGCACGCACGCACGCACGCACACACACACACACACACACGCACCCACACACACACACGCGCGCGCACGCACGCACGCACGCACGAACACACGCACACACACACGAATACAAACACACACACACACAAACACATAAACACACACACACACACACACGCACGCACGCACCCACGCACGCGCACACACACACACACACGCACACACACACACACACACACGCACACACACAAACACACGCACGCACACACGCACACACGAAACACGCACACACCACACATACGCACACGCACAAGCACACGCACACGCACACGCACAAGCACACGCACACGCACACGCACACGCACACGCACAAGCACAAGCACAAGCACACACACACACGCACGCATACGCACACGTACACGCACACGCACACGCACACGCTCACGCAGACGCAGACGCACACGCACACGCACACGCACACGCACACCCACACACCCACACACCCACACACCCACACACCCACACACCCACACACCCACACACCCACACACCCACCCACACACACACAGACAAACACACACAGACACACACACACAGACACACACACACAGACACACACACACAGACAGACACGCACACACACACGCAGACACACACAAACACACACACACACAAGCACACACAAACACACACACACACACGCCCACACACAGACATACGCACAAACAAATGAACAAGGACACGCACGCAAAAACACACACACACACACACAAGAACACACGGCTTACGCGGGATGCCAGCGTGGGCGGCGCGCCACATTGGAACCGGGGGCGCTCACGTGCGACCTTACGCGCGCTTTGTGCGTCGCTCGGTCGGCACCCACCCTCCGAAGTTGGTGCCCCCCCTGGCGGACCTCCGACGCCGTGGTTCCTTCACGGCGTGTGCCCCCAGAATTTGGACGCCCGAAATGGGCACGGAAAGAATGGGCACAATGCCCAACAACAAATGCTGTCCCAGACCAACAGCGGCCGCTGTTGGGCAGGCGGCCTCCTGTCTCGAACGGACACAGGCCGCGGCGGCGCGGACAGCGAGTCCTGTCCTGTTCAAGATGGACAAGAACTGCTGTTGGGCATTGTACCCATTCTTTCCGTACCCATTTCGGGCGTCCAAACAGAAGTCCGGACCAGCTTCTCATCCCGGGTCGTCTCCCGGCGGCCCCGAGGCATGGCGAGGGCCCCTGGAGGCCGAGAGCAGCCAAACACCTTTCGCCGTGATGGCTTCCGCACGCCGAGGCGAGCAAGCATCCCAGATGCCAGCCCTCGGCTTGACGAACCGACAACACACACCCATACCCATAGGGGGATCGGAGAGGGCTATGGGTGCGTGTTGTCGGATGGGGGTCCCCGCTCGAACGGGAGCGTTCCCCAGGGTCTGACGACCCGCACCCACACCCATAGCCAGTCCTCCTCCCAACGATCTCCCTATGGGTATGGGTGCGTGTTGTTCGTTCGTCAAATAAGGACGCGCGACTTTGCTCAGGGTACCCTTGCGTCCTTGCTCTTCCTTGCTCCTGCGTACTCGAGGTCTTCGTCGTCCGCCGCATTAAAAATCCCAGCTTCGGCTTCCAAGGGTCTTGCGTCCCTACCGCGCGTCCTTACTAGGGTGTTTGGGTGTGTGTTGTCCGTTCGTCATCGGCTTTCGCCTCCCCCGCCGCTCCTGCGAGCCAGCTGCAAGCTGTCGAGCGCCCGGAGCGGAGAGGCGGCCGGCCGGCGCCCCGTGCTGGGGGCGCGCGCTCGAGCCGGCGCGCGGCGCGCGCCGAGGCCCCCCGCCCCTTTTGCGCATGGTCCGCTGCCGCGCCTGCACGGCTTTGGACACCCGAAATGGGCACGGAAAGAATGGGCACAATGCCCAACAACAAATGTTGTCCCAACCAACAGCGGCCGCTGTTGGGCAGGCGGCCTTCTGTCTCGAATGGACACAGGCCGCGGCGGCGTGGACAGCGAATCCTGTGCTCAGAATGAACAAGAACTGCTGTTGGGCATCGTACCCATTCTTTCCGTGCCCATCTCGGGCGTCCAGAACGGCGTGGGCGCGCTTCGGCGGCGAGCAAGGGGGGGGGGAAGTGCGAAGGAAGGGGCCTTCTCGGCTACACGCAAGAGCGACCCTGGGTAAGAGTGACCTTTGGTGCGCGGCTTTGGGGGGGGCCGTGGTGAGGCCAAATCTAGGCGCGCTAGCCGCTGCTACCGCTTCGCGTTCGGCCATCTGGGGGCCCATCAGTGCCCGCACTAAAGGTCACTCCGGCGAAAGGTCACTCTTACGTCTAGTCGATTCTCAGAGGGCGGCGGGGCTTCTCGGAAGGCCTCCGGCCTTCTGGCAAACTCTTCTGTGCCTTCCGGCTGAGAAGACTTCTCAGAAGGCTGGAGGTCCTCCGAGCCTTCTGAGAACGCCCGCCCCTTCTCACTTCCCCTTCCAGGCTCGCCGCCGAGTGTTGCAGTGTCAGGTGCTGCTCTGTAGGGCTTTTCCTCTTTTTAAAAAGGCCCCCCCCTCTAACACCAAACGGTCGCATGCATCACCCCCAGTCCCGAGGCCACGATCCCTCTCAACAAAAAATGGACCCGCGCTCCTGAGGCCATGATCCCTCGTAAAAAAAACTAGATGTCCGCATCCCGAGCTTCCCAGGCGGCTCAGGCAGGAGGCAACCAAGGCAACCAAGATGGCCAATGATGCCTCGAAGGCGGGCCGAGATGGCTCCAAGGCGACCGAATATGACCTCACGACGGCCTCAGATGCCTCCAAGAGGGCCCAAAAGGGCACCGAAAGGACCTCCAACAGGGCCCGAAGAAGCCCAAATCAGTAATTTCCCACATGATTTTGAATTTTCCCATTCCTGCTTTTCGGGCTTCCGTCAGCTCAAGACGACCCAAGAAGGCTCCACGCTGGCCCGAAGGCGGCCGAAAAGGCCCCCCACGAGGGTCCAGGGATGGCCCAAGAGGACCCCATGAGGGCACAAGAGGCATCCACGACGGCCCCCAGACGGCCCAAGAGGGCCCCAAAACGGCCCCAGAGGGCAGCCCCGAGGGACACCCCAAGACTGCCTCACGAGAGGCTGCGACAGCCACAAGACCGACGCGGAGCGCCCGCGCTCTCCTTCCTCGTGCAGCTGGGCCCGCTGGGTGCGCTTAGCACAATTCGGGAGCGGCCAAGAGGGGGGTGTCCAAGAGGGGGGGGTGCAAAGTCATGACCGGCGGCATGTGCGCGGCCCAGCGGGGGGGCCAGGGACGTAATGAGATAAGAAGAGGCGCCATGACATCTGGGGAAACATCATGGCCCACGCCATGATATCCACCCCCCCCTCGTCATCACCCCCCTCTTTTCCGCCCCCGAACGATGGCCGTCGTGCTGCATCGCCGCTCGCCGTGCTGCACGGCGAACGGCGGCGACGGGCGCGGCGGCCCCCGCGCGGCAACCGCCGCAGGGCGGCGGTCCCGCGGGTCCCGAGCGCCCGCTCCTGCTGGGAGCTGGCGGGCGGCGCGCGGCCCCGCGGGGAGGCTCGGGCCGGGTCAAAGGGGGGGATAACGAAAAGGGGGGAATAACAAAAAGGAGGGATAACAAAAAGGGGATAACAAAAAGGGGGGGATAACAAAAAGGGGGGGATAACAAAAAGGGGGGATAGCAAAAGGGGGAAATAACAAAAAGGGGGGTTTGGGAGATTTTCCCGGCGCCTCCCGGTGCCGGAGGCGCGGCTATGTGTATCGAGGAAGGGGCCCCTCGGCGAGGCCGAAACCGGCTGCACGCGGCAAATTTCGCACCCCCCCCTTTCCTAATCCCCCCCCCCCTTTTCGTCTGGCCCGACCCTGGCTCCGACGGCGGCCCGGCTCTTGCGACGGGCCCTCGTCGCGCGCGCGCCGCATGCTGCCCGCGCTGGCGTTGGCTCGCCGACGGCGCCTGGCTGGGGCTGCGCTCCGGGACCGCTCAGGAGGTGGCGACAGCAGCCTGGCGTGCGCCCGGCAATGGCCCCCCCGCCCCCGTCGTGTACATAGAGGCCGTGGTGGCCGTGGAGCACTGGCTGGTGCTCGTGAAGATGGTCGTTGCCGTCGCGAGGCTCTCCGCGGAGTTGCTGCTTCACATCTGAGGAGCCGTGGACTGCGTCGTGCTCGCGGTCGGGGGGTCTGGCTTCCTCTGGTGGAGGCCAGGCCCCCCGCGGCGGGAGGGACGGCAACCTCCCTTTTGATGCTCGCTCCTCCTCCTCCTCCTCCTCCTCCTCCTCCTCCTCCTCCTCCTCCTCACCATCACCACCACGACCGCCACGAACACCAACACCAACACTACCACCGTCATCATCATCATCATCATCATCATCATCATCAGCAGCAGCAGCAGCATCAGCAGCAGCAGCAGGAACTGCAAGAACAGCATCGTCATCATCATCATCATCATCATCATCATCATCATCACCATCATCACAATCATCAAACACAGCACCATCATCGTCAGCATCATCATCAACATCATCATCGCCATCATCATCATCATCATCATCAGCATCATCATCTTCATTATCAGCACCATCACCATCAGAGTCATCAGCGTACTGCACATTGTCATCATCATCATCATCATCATCATCATCATCGTCCTCCTCCGAATCAGCATCCCCCTCCTCCTCATACCCATCCTCAACCTCATTCTCATCCACATCCTCACCACCACCAGCATCACCACCGCCACCATCAGCATCACCACCACCATCAGCATCAACATCACCACCTTCATCATGATCATCACCACCACTACCATCACCATCACCATCATCATAATCATCATCACAACCATCATCATCATCATGACCATCACCACCATCATCAGCATCGCCATTTTCATCACAATCACCACCACCACCATCACCATCACCATCATCATCACTATCATCATCATCACCACCATCATCATCATCGTCCTCATCATCGTCCTCAACATCACAGTTATCATAATAATTATTATTATCATTATCATCATCATCATCATCATCATCATCATCATCAACAACATCGCCATCATCATCACCATCATCACGATCATCTTCGTCGCTGGTCGTCATCCTCATCATCACCATCACCAAAACCATCGTCATCACCACCACCAGCATCACCATCTACCTCGACATCAACATCAACATCACAGCTCTCCCAAAAACGGAAACACGAAGGGTCACACGTGACGGCCTCCCGTGCCCCCTCCAAGAGTCACCACCCGGTATGCTGGGCCTGCACGGTGGCCGGACCTGCCGAAAGCAGCTGGATTCGTAGGCATGGGTGGAATTGCAGCTTCCAATAACACATGAAGCATGGAAGTTCATCAGGATCTCATGCCATCTGGGTTTTCCCCGTGCTGGAGCGCACCATGCTTAGAGCACATGCTGCTGCGGGCCCGCGCTCCGCCTCTTGGGGGCGTCTGGGGGCGTCTGGGGGACCTCGTAGCCTTCGGAGGCCCGCTTGGGGCCTTCTTTGTGCACTCGTGGGTCCCACTTTGGGCGCTGGAGGGCCGTCTTGGAGGTCTCTTGGACCGTCTTGGGGCCGCCTTGGGGACCTCTGGGGCCGTCTTGGGCACCTCTTGGGCCATCTTGCGGGCCTCGTGAGGGCCCCGAGACTTTGGAGGTAGGCTTCCGAGATACAGTTCCACGGCGACGCTAATCGAACGATGCGACGTGCAGCCCGAACTCTGTCATCCAATTCACCACCTCCTGAGAGCACCAGAGGGACGGGAAAGGCTCGCGACATGGGTCCTGGGGATACTCCTGTCCCGCCCTTCCCCCACGGAGCACCGCTCTCGTGAAAAGCTCGAGGCAGAAGAGGAAGAGATGTGATCCTAGCGCACAGGCGCGTTGCTCTGAATCTGACAGTTCAGGCACAGGTAAGAACGGATTGGCTCTAGCGCGCAACGGCCTCAGCCCGTGGCGGCCCATCAAGGAGCGGTGCCTGGCTCCACTGACTGTCGAGCTAGGCGGCCTAGCGCAGCGAGGAAGCCCACGACGTCCCCGCTGCTGCGCAACCTGCGCATGTCCACCGCGAGGCTGATGTCGATGAGGTCGAGGCCGTCGCCGACGGCCAGGTCGCAGGCCAGCGCCTTCGCCGCCAGCCCAGCGGCCTGGGCCCCCCTGCTCTACCATGTCGCACAGGTCCCTTTGACGCCTAGGGCCACACGGCTGCCCCAGCCCGCGGGCGTCGAAGGAACGACCTCCAGGCGCGGCAACGGCCGCAACGGCTTCCGCGGCTCGCGGTCAGCGCGAACTCCATGCCGGCTGCTGGGCTCGTCAGGAAGGGTCTTCTGTGTGGAGATCCAGATATGAAAATACGAGAACCCACCGGCCAGCTCGATGGCCGCCCGGCGGCGGCAGCGCCGATTGAGCTAGCGGCTGGCACTGCGGCCCTGGACGAAGGCGCCCTCACGCGGCGCGTTGTCGCCAGCGCGCAGCACGCGGCAGCCGAACTCCGACGGCTTGTGGAGGCGGGCCTCCGTGCACCACAGCTTCGCGTGAGCCTCCTCCAAGGTGATGTACTCCATGCCGCCAGGCCGCCCCGCCTTGAACCAAAGCGGGACAGGCGGCGAGGTCACCGCGGCCCGTGAGCAGCGGCCCTCGAGGTCGACGTCGATCCCGAAGCCGTCGTCCAGCTTGGTGCAGGGCGCCCTGTGGTCAGCCCACTGGGCGATGTGCCTCGCCGCCGCCGCGGGCAGCGTGGCCCCGGCCCTGCCGAGGCCTCCAGGCGCGGCGTCGAACCCTCCAGGCACTTCCATGGCTCCTTG